ATCATAATATCAATACGACAGATTTGACTAAATCGAGCGATCTCATTTCGAATGGACCATTCATTATTGTGCATCGCTTGCCGTTCACTTCGAACCTGCCAATTGCAAATAATGCACTCAATTGCCTATTTTTGGAGCAGTATTTCTGAGGAAGTATCACAAAATTCAGCTTCAACAATCTCACAATTAGGTATAAACCGTGTTTCAAAACAAAAAGCGGTGAATTGATATTATATATTCGTCCACTTCAAGAATTTGATCGCATATCTCTCATAACCGGTTGATACGTACAGCACAGCATTCATCGACAACATTTAGCTTCTGAACAGGATGACAATGATCATACTTGGAAGAACAATAATTCACTGCAAAGAAAGCACTTTTAAAGTGGAGTAAACAATAACAATCGCAATCATAACAAAACGAACACAACAATAAATTTTAGAAAACGAGTAATAATAATAATAACAGTGAAGTTGAAAAAACAATAGCGATGAAATAGTTGTACAATTACAGTCACGTATTTTGTACTCAAACAAGCTACTAACATCATCATGCACTGACCCCTAGTTCCATTCTGAAAACAAAAAGCACATCATTTTACAAGTGATGACTGATATAGCTTCTGATTTCAATATTTCTGCAACAATACACTGTGAAATCTATGCTCGAAACTGAACGATTTTCGTTCGACTAAAGAAATCTAAGTTCCATGAATGATAGTTTAAAGATACAACGCATAAAATTTGCATCGCATAAGGATGCCTACCTTAATACACCACCACAATGGGACATTTAACATTTCCGATAACTCTTCACACTTTAAACGATACCAATAACAATGAAATTCGTCAGATTCGTATATTGGAAACATTTTTGACATTCTTCAACCCTTTCATCTAATTTCTTCATAACAAATAACAATTTCCTCACTCTTCTGCAACGCATTTTTATAAGCGCATCAAATTTTATGCACTCTTAAGTGTTGTAACAAAGTCGTTCGCAAAATTTTAGATTCCCACTGCATAAAAAATTTCTCATTTGCTTTTTTTTGCTCGTTAATCTCATTCGGTTTGGAGCATTAATCACCATAAAATTCTCAACGCAACAGCCACATCTCAACGCATAACAAGGCAACAAACGAAACAGATAAAGCGTTCAGCACTGAATCACCGGCTCACTACTATACGTCACATCATTAATTCGATGAATCCTTCGCAAAATAATCTTTTCAATCACAGAACATTCGGCTCAAAATGTCACAATTTCCTGACATTCTGATGTGATTGCAAGAAATACGAGATGAGACAATGAGATAATATGACAAATTTGTTTTTCTATTTGATTATGTGACAATTATAAACTTCTCTATGAATGGTGTGACCAGAACTTTTGACGGGAAGGAAGTGAGGAGGGCGATCGATGAGCGCAAAACGCTCTCTATTCCAGGAAAATAGCTGAATTCTGAAGCGGATTTCTCTTGGCTTATCTTTTATTCCTTCTTTCTCCCTTCTGCCCTCTCTACCTATTCGACCAATCACCGGAGGAGCAAGAGAAGCGCGCACTCCCTGAATTATCCCCTTGGATACACTGAACTCTACTATGAAAAGGACGGCCCATAGTCATTACAGGAGACTGCGAACGATGTCAGTCTATTGCCTCTAATGTTCGGCTCACTCAAAAATTTTCCTATAAATATGAAACAAACACGACTGAAACACTATAAGTTGCCAACCAGCCAAAAATATTAAGTACTACCCATATTGCCACTCACTCTTTTCAAATTCAGACGAGTTGTGACCATGAGCCTGATACGAAAACAAAGCGACAGAATATCAACGAAATGTCGGCACCAAAACAAGCAAACACAAAAAAAACCAAACGCAAAATAAAAAGCACTAAGCAGAAATTCGAGAATGATCAAATCAATTCATCATAATGCATATTCAGCCATCACTCAACAATCGAAAACAATCTCAGTCTCATAAAACGTTATCGTTATCATTATTGCTATTACAGCAACTACTGCAATCACTACTATCATTATATTTCGACGCAAACTCAGATCTAACCAATTTCTCATCAAAACCTAAAAATTCAAAAGTTGCGTTCGTCTCATGCGTTCCACAGTTTGGATCAAGCACATAGAGGAAATGCCTCAGATTCGGTGACGGGTTTTGACCAACGCACACCACATCTTCAACACGCTTCATCATATCAACATCAGAGCCTGAAATCAGAACAATTCGATATCGAAGCGTTCACTCAGCTCAATCACAATTCCAGCAAAGAGAACAGCAATTCTCCCGAAACCGCTCATAGGATCAACGAGAAAATCCTCATTCGCATAGAAACCCATCATCATCAAGATCGAT